ATGGTCGTGGAGGCAGGTTCAATTGAAATATTCAAAAAAGAACACGCAGGATAGCGTGGCAAAAGTAGGAGAATGGAATAAAATGAATTGGCTCTTTCAGAGAGCCAAATGTGCAGATGCTGAACAGCACCCCTTCTGCACTGCAAACAGCTTCAGAATCAAAATGTTTAAACTGCTTAGTGTAGAAAATAAAATAATAGAAAATAGGAGCAGGAGTGGGACATTTGGACTCTTGAGCATGCCCCATCATTCACTGGGATCATGGATGACCTACCCTCTTTTTTTTGTATCAGCTCCTCATAGCCCTTAACTCCCCAATATCTCAAAAATCTGTCTACTGCCTCCTTAATTACTTTGTGATCAAGCCTCCACAACTCTCAGGATTAGAGAATTTCAGACATACCCTATCCTCTCAGAGAAGAAATTTCCTTGCCTTTCCATTTTAAATGAGTCTTGTTCTGTAACTGTTCCACAGCTAGGATTTGCTGCTGGTAAAAACATTTTCTCAACATCTGCCCTGTCAACCCTGCTGAGACCCATATATGTTTCAGTAAGATCACCCTCCTCATTCCTAACGCTAATGAGGAGGATCCTGTTGCTGGAAAATCTGAATAGTTTTTGAAAGTGTCAGAATTTTCAGTTGGCTGCAGGAGAAATATCATGAATAGAGCAAGACCTCTACACCACATGTTGGAGTGACCAACTATCTTGGGAACAGTTAGCCAATTGAACATTAGAAACAGAATGAAGATATTTGTCTGCCTTCTGAAATTCTTCATGATGGCTTGACAGTTTCCTGAATGTATGCTCGTGCAGATTCTGGATGATAGACTTCTGACCCATTCCCACCCACCAATGGCATCGAACTCTACTGTGTACTAACCTTTTCAACTTGCTTTTCTCTGATAGGCACTGTGCCTTCTATGGTGATGATCATTGCATTGAAACCTGATAAATAGCTGCACAATCTGAGAGCTCCAGACAAAGACCAAGGCCTCCAATAACATGCAGTATTTCATGATTTACTGTTTCCTGATGATTTTGCGCCTTTATATGCCAGGCCAGAGCTGGACATATACCGTAGTATGGACTTTCTTGCAATACATGTCAGCTACAGCCTTATGATCAGCAAGAGAAAAACTGATGTGTCCATCTCCTCCAGGCATGTCATATATTGAATCAGAGTTTCAGTCTATGAGCAGACTGAGGGGTAGATAATGCTACTTCTCATAGTGAGACAGCCTGGAAACAGACCCTTCAATCCAACTCGTCCATGCTGACCACGCATCCTGATCTGACGTAGTCCTATTTGCCAGCATTTGGCCCATTTCCCCAAAATCCTTCCTATTCAGGTACCTTTTTTAAATGATGTAATTGTAATTGTACCCACCTCCACCACTTCCTCTGGCAGCTTTGTCCTATGCACACACCACCCTCTGCCTGGAAAAAGTTACCCCATCATGTCCTTTTATTTTTTCTTGGCCCTCTGGCTTTAAACCTATGCCCTCTAGTTATGGGCTCCCCCATCCTAGCAAAAAGACCTTGGTCATTCACCTTATCCATGCTGCTCATGATTTTATAAACTTCTGTCAGGTCACCCCTCAGCCTTTGATGCTCATGGCAGGGATGGGGGGAGGAATGCCTCAGCCTATTTAGCCTCTCCCTGTAATTCAAACTCTCCAATCCCAGCAGCATCCTGGTAAATCTTTTCTGCACTCTCCAGTTTAACATCAACTTTCCTATAAAAGGGCAACCAGAATTGTACGCAGTATTCTAAAACTAGCTTCGGCAATGTTTTGCACAGCTGCAACATGACACCCTAAATCCTGTATGCAGTGTACTGACCAATGAAGGCAAGCATGCCGAACCATGTCGTCTACCAATGACTCCACTGTCAAGAGGGCTATCTGTATTGACAGTGAGACATATACAAAAGTTGCTGAGTGAGATTATCCTTAATTGGGCTTTGATTATCAACCTGGGAATGAAGAGGAGTAAGTCTGTCTACCAAACTAAAATGTATTGGAAAAATAGTCTGGCCCCTCTTTGCTCTACACATGAAAAATTTGAAATGTGCTCCAGCATCGTGCCAGCATAACAGTTTAAGTAAAACTGTTGTCAAAGCTTCTGAAGATCAGATGGTAGGACATAATTTGAGATACTGAGGTGCTTGCTCAAGTTAAAATGCCAAGCATCCGAACACAATAACCAGAACTGAATTGGACAGGTCCGCTAGCCAGAATGTGTGACACTGTTTGCTAAAGCAAATCTTCAATGGCAAGCTCAAGTCTAAGGTAAACTGTCCTGTTGGTAAAACGAACTGAGATGAAAACATTTCATTTGAGTGTTTTGATACAACTTCCAAGTCCTGAAAGAAGCTGATCTAGGAACGCTGCACGTGGTCTAACCAAACACAAGGTGCAGCCCCCTTCAAAAGCAAGTGCACATTGGAGGCAGCATGAAAGTAAGTGTGGGAATCCTGAGCCTGCAACTTGTACAGAATGCCATCTGTAGTATTCAATTGTATTTGCAGCAGAATCTGCCTTGGCTATCATCCATGTACTCTCCACTACCAAAACTCCCAAATGCACTTGGTCATCTTCACCTCAAAGGATAAACCAAAAAGTATAAAAGGGAGCTTTTTATATCTATCTGAGATAAGATGGGATCTGAGTTTAACTTGTTATTTTAATACTTTCTAAGAATTGGAACTCAGTTGTGCTATTCTGTCTAGACAGCCAGCCAGTAATCACCTTAACCTGGAGTTTCTGGTCTTTTCAAGATCGCCTAAAACTAAACCTTTTTTTAAATGTTTTATTACCTTGCTTTCCATATCCTCTACACTAGCTTTAGCTAATTCAGTGTGGCTGTGTTTCAAGTATAAAACAGTTTGAAACTCCAACCTGTCTATTAGAGGATTTTTAAAATAAAAACTGCTCGGTAGTCAATTTATAATTTGGTTTGTACTTCCTAATTTTGTCTCAAATAAGTGTACGCTGATTTTCTTAAATGTGTTTTCTGAATTAATTCTTCACCCACTTCAGCTTTTTTTAAATGGAAAACAAATCTTCAAGCAGAACTAGTCTATATATTTCAAAATGATATAAGCACTGGAATTGCACTTTCCAAAATGTCAGACCACGTAATTGTATTGAAATTAAACTAATTTCAATTAAAACATCTTAGAATTATCTATCTATTGGAATTGAGGAAGCATTAATTGTCTCATTGTCCATCCCTAGTTGTTCTGAGGTGGTAATCAGTTTAGCTTTTCCATCATCTTCCAACTCATGGAGGTAATTGTTTCTAAAACACAGTGAAACTTTTTTTAGAAAATATCTATTAGAAGAAAACATTAAAAATGTTTACTCGCAATGCAATTTGTGTAAACACTGAATAAATTTTACAAGTTGTTCCTTCACTTGAACCGGTGAAGATACAAGATCTGTTCCTCAACTTATATCCATTCTTGTGCGTGGCTGCAAAAATGGTATAATGCCTTACGTGGTGAACTCCTAGGTTTGTATTGATATTATCTGTTCTACTGCAGCCTTATTGAAGTTTAATTCAAAATCTGAATAAAAGACACCCTCTATTCTGGATTGACCTGCAATTGTTTTAGTATGGATAGTGGGAGGAAATAACTATTTTAAAAGCAGCATTACTTGCCTTCGTCATTTTGTTTTATTTTAAGTTTCGATAGATATGGGATTTAATGCGCTGTTCTAATTTCTAAGCATTAGTTTATGCTTCTGATGTAATCTTGAAGCATTTAGTGGGCAAGAAAGACACTAGTTCTCCCATTCTGTTCATGGTTAACTAGCATCCGAATATTTTTAGGCAAGAGAAAGAAAACAGGTTTGCATTTGAATGCTTTACAGCCAGTAAAAACATTTAAGTGTCGTCACTATTTATTGTGTTGGCATTGCAAAGTTAACTAAAGCTATACAGCATCAGAATCTGCCTAGTCTAATTTGACGCCATGTGTCCATTATTTGGCAATTTGAAGTTGTTAATTTTCAAAAAAAGAAATTGTTAACTGAGCCAGCATCACAGTGGCTTAGTGGTTAGTACTGCTGCCTCACAGCATCAGGGACTCCGGGTTTGATTCCACCCTCGGGCGACTGTGTCGAGTTTACGCATTCTCCCCATGTCTACGTGAGTTTCCTTGGCATGCCCTGGTTTCCTCCCACAGTCCAAAGATGTGCAAGTAGGTTGACTCACTTTGCTAAATTTCTCATAGTGTTCAGGGATGTGCAGGCTAGGTGGATTAGCCATGGGAAATGGAGGATTACAGGGCTAAGGTAGGGGACTGGTTCTGGATGAGATACACTGCTGATGATCAGTATGGGCTGAATGGACTGCTTCCGCACAGTAGGGATTCTATGATTCGAAGCTATTATGCTTTTGATTTTTGTAAGGCCGCGCTTTTAGTCTAGAGTTTAGCTGTTGGTGGAGGAAGAAGGGGGAGAAAAGAGAGTCTTCAAAGACCTGATGAGTGGAAGCATAAGCAATTTCTTGGAGGTGAACTAATCTTCAAGGCACATTTTTTTTACCCAGACAGTTTTCCTTTACTCAGCAAGCATCTCCAACGAAGTTTGGAGGGCTAAAAATCTATACTTCTGTGTTTTGATTAGACTGGCTGGCTTTCCCTTGCTACCAGATGCAATCAGATACTGCTTTATCACGTATGTACGGATGGATCTGTTGGCAACTAGTTCTGTATAAAAAAATTTAAGCAATCGGTTTCCACTCAAAGTAGTAGGATGTTCTTTTGGGTTTAGCGCTTTTGGCTCAAATAAATAATACAGAATAAGTTTGCCAACAATGTGCTAGCAGAAGGGATAAAACAAAATGAAAATAATAGTGTACGGTTAATTGATTCTTGGCTGGCACTGAGATGAGAGGAGATGTCCATGTATATCGTGCAATGTGATCTGAATTTTGTGTATAGACTGTCATGTCGCATGTCCATAATGACTCTTGTATATTAATTGCAGCAGCAGTCAGAATCAGAAACAGTTCATGTCTTCATCCCTGCCCTGGCTGTAGGTGCAATTATTGGAAAGAAAGGGCAACACATCAAACAACTCTCTCGCTATGCAGAAGCTTCCATTAAGGTAACTTGCATTCTATTGGTATTTGCTTTGACAAATCACTTTAACAATGGAAATACAAAAACAAAGTTCTGTAGGTGCTGGAAATCTAAAATAATTTTTTATAAGAATTTTGCAAATGCTCAGTACATCTGGCATTATCTGTGAAGAAAGAGTTTCACATGAAAGGTCTTCTAAACCTGAAATACAATCCCTCTGTTTCTCTCCACAGATGCTGCTTAACTTTTTGAGCATATCCAGCATGTCCATGCATTTAAAAATGAAGATATTTAACAAAGCAATTGCAGTACTTTGGAAATGATTTCAGAATATTTTCACTAGCTTACTGCTTAACTTGATATACAAATGTTCATTTCTTTTCTTACGTTTGACAGTCTACCCATGTTCTTTTTTTATAATCTCCAAGTGTTACCTTGCTCCATCACTTTATCTAGTCATCCATCTTTATTTGGCCACCACATAAGTGTTGTTAAGCTATATTGAATTTACGAGTTTAGTATGTGGGCTGTTTTGTGCCCTGGAGGCATTCCTGGTTTACTTCACTCCTCCACTGATAGTTGAACAATCTGTAACTGTAACTGTGGCTTTGAAATCTTGAATTCCACCTCTCAACTTTTCTACTTATTTCCTTTTAAGTTACCAATTAAGATCTTCGATTTAAGCATTTAGTCACCTGTCCCCAATATTTCTTTACATTTCTTGGTATGAAACTTTATTTGAAAATTGCTCCTGTAAAGCAGCTTAGGATGCTTTACTACATTTAAAGGTGTTGAGAACAAGTTGTTAGCAGTTTGGAAGATGAAATATTGCTGGATAACTTTTAAAAATAGAGATGCTTTATTCCGACCCTGTTTTTGAGCTTTTGCCATAATTTACTGCATGCAGAGATATACCTGTATGATGAGAATGAGTCACTAATCAATGACTTTAGTGACTCAATTATAAAAGGAATTGAACAAGTTTAATCGAATAAATCATTCCATATTAAATGTAAAATGTCTATCAATGTGGAAGAAATGAATAGATTCCAGTAAATAAATTTACTTGTTATAGGGTGATTGGTACTTGCCTTGATCAACATAATGGGCTGTTTTTAAAAGCTGTTTTTCAGGCCAAAATACTTTTCCAAGTCAGCTTTCCAAACTTCGTGGCCAGTACTTGTTCATGCCGTAAACGGCAGCATAGCTGTCAAAAACTTTGAGTTCTGTTTTATCTTGTCGTGTGCTTCCTCCTTCTTTCCCACAAACATGCTCTTCAAAGAGTAAATTGGCCAGCAACCTCAGCAATTGTACTTGCCATTAAATGCAAAAATCGGGAAGTTATTGTTTGGGATTTCCCTGCTTCTCTAGAGACTGCATGATATCAGTAACTTGCTGAGGGACACTACTGAAATACACGAGTGGTGAATTACAGTACTTGGGTGATAGATATTCAGTAAGCTGACCAGGAGAATGTTGTGTGGCTTGTCCATTCAAGTGTAAGTGAATTTTAACAGTTTCTGCCAAACAAGCCATCTGCCCTGAAAGTTGACCTGCAGTAATTGTGGAATTTCATTCCATCGGCTTTATAATTATTGGATATTTTGCATTGAATGAACTATCTGACTTAAATTTTTTGGTTCAGAATCTCCATATGGCCACATGGATATTTCAGTCAGACTAAGGAGATATGCCATTTCTTGCCTTGTTCATACTGGTCTTAGATCCCAGTAGAAAATGTGCTGTTGTAATTTTCTAATCATACCAAATGACAGTCCATGGAACAGCCAGTGGAAATCGAGTGAGTTTAACAAACGGCTAGTACTGTCTATTCATCGCTTACTGGAAATGTCCAGACCATTGCTGAGTTTCAAATCCTGTGTATCATGTTCTTGGGATGCAGCGACCTCTATACCCGAATCACAATGTATAAGGTACACTTGCTGTCAGTGTACTGGTGGTAGAGGGTGTGAATGTTGTGAGGTTCTGCTCATGACCCTGCTTCTTCCTTTATTATGGTAAGTTCAAGTGTTGCTGGAGCTGTATGCAAGGTGTAACTTGCAGCTGATGGGCAGGTTTTGGTGAGTTAGAAGGTGAGTTACTCTCTCCAGATTTCCCAGCCTCCTTACTGGTCTTGGAGCCACAATAATTTTCTTCTTTCTTGTCATGTGAGTATTTTGTGGCCTGTAACTTGTTGCCCATCCCTAACCACCTTCGAGAAAGTGTGAGCTGCTTTTTGAACCGTTGCAGCCCTTGTGGTGTAGGGCCACTTACTATGCTGTTAGGGTGGAAGTTCCAGGATTTTGTCCCATTTGAGAAGGAAGGGATCTTGCTGGTGGTGGTGTTCCTATTGCAACATCTACCCATGTCTTTCTAGAAGGTGCAGGCCATGGTTTGAAGGGTTCTGTTGCAGAAATTTTGGTGAGTTATTGCACATACTGCAGTGACTGTGTTGGTGGAAGTGAATTTTGGAGATAATGGATGGTTGTTTTGGCATTGAGTTGCTTTTGTTGGAGTAACACAGGCAAGTGGAGAGTGTACCATCACACTCCTGAGTGGTTTCTTGCATTGTGGACTGGCATTGGGAAGCCTGAAGGTGAGTTACTCACCATAACGTTCCTAGATCCTGATCTGTTTTTGTAGCCACAGTACTTAATGTGGCTGGCCCCATTTAGTTTCTGACCACTAATGGATGGGCCTAGCACATGACCCTGAGCAGATCCTGCAGTGATGTCCTTTTGGACTAAGCAAGTTGATCTTTAATACCCATAACCATTTTCCTTCATGATAGTTATGTCTCCAACCAAAATTTGTGTAATGCTCTTCTGTCCATGTTTAGGCAAGCCTGTAATTGTCAGGGGTGAGTGGCCCTAGCAGAACCCACACTGAACATCAGCAAGCAGATTATTCCTTTTTGCATGTGCCCCTTGATAGCCCTGTCAATGACTCCTTCCATTACTTTACTGCCAGAGGGAATAGACTGAAAAGTTGAAGTTGCCAGCTTGGCTTTGTCCTCGTTTTGTGGACAAGGTGCACTGGGACAATCTTTAACTGTCAGGTATTCTACCACTTCTGCAGTTATGCTGGAACAATTTAGCTAGGCGTGTGGCTAGTTCTGGAGCTCCGGTCTTCAGTATTGGAAAGTTGTCAGGAACTGTTGGCTGCAAGATAATGGATACTGCCAAAGCAATGTGATTGTTGTCAACAAGTGGCTCAAGCATGGATCGTCCACTCAGTACTTGCTAAAGTCTTTTGCACTGATGTGCCTGGTTATCCCATCCCATCATTCAGGATGAAGTTATTTGTAGAATTTTTTTTCTCCTATTTATTTAATTGTCCACCACCAATCATGATTGGCTGTGATAGGACTGTAAATCTTAAAACTGATCCATTGGTTGTGGGATTATTTAGCTCTTGCCTATTGCATACAAGCAGTTTGGTTGTTTCTAGTGCCTGGGTTGATGCTCGTCAGTATGCCCAGTTTCTTTCTTTCCTTGATTAGATACAACTGAGTTACTTGCTCGGCCGTTTCTGAGGGCACTTAAGTGTCGTGCCACATTGCTGTCGGTCTGGAGTTATAGACTTCGGGTCAATACGCAGGTCAGACCAGGCAAGGATGGTAGATTTCCTTCCCTAAAGGACATTAATGAACCAGAATGATGCAATTGGCAATGGTTAATTGGTCTTCATTGGATTAGATTTTTAATGCAAGTTGTAAACTCAAATTTCACTATCTGACACTGAAGAGTGCTAGTCTCGATGTCTGTCTGAATTTTGCTGCTCCAGTGACATTACTATTACACCACTGTCTGTCCTATGACTGCTGCAGCTTGGTGTCACTGGTAACTCTCAGAATGTTGATGATACCGGATTCAGTAATGGCAGTGCTGTTGAATGTCCACTTCTCAGATTCTGTTGTCGATGATTATTGTTCAACACTTAAGGTGGGTAGAAACATTCACACCTCATCAGCCCAAGTCTCGGTGTTATCCACATAGACTCTTTTGTGGAGGAAAGATAATTAGTGGGGTAAATAACATGAAAAATTGAGGTGCGAGAATAAAGAAGTAACTTTTGTATTGGTTGATTTGGCTGTGTGTGTGTTCATTATTTAATTTAAAGGTGTTATTGGGATTTGTAAATGTTTTGCAGATTGCTCCTGCAGAGAGTCCAGATGCTAAACAGCGAATGGTGATCATCACAGGGCAGCCTGAAGCTCAGTTCAAGGTGAATTTTTCTGAAATTCAAAGTTTGCTCTGCAAACATATAAATCAACGCCAAGAAGGATCCCTTTTTGTTCTTGCATCAAGTTGTCTCCTGAATTGTATCTAATTTCAAGTCAGTTCTTGAACTTTCAGATCCAACTAAATATTAATATAAAGCTAGTATCAACTAGTGTTGGGGAGAGATTCTAACATGCCTGGCAGTTTTTTTAAAAAAAACTTATCATTTTTGAATGTTCAAGCTTTCAGTGTACAACTTGAAACAACAACTGCATATGTTAGCTGATCTGAGCCCTCCAGCATTCTGTAATATTGTGATATTTGTAATGTTAGTAATTCAAACTCGGTCTCGTGTGAATTTAATGGAGTTGGGCTATGATAACTAGCTTGAATAAAAGCAAACCAATGCTAGAGAAAGTAATCCGGTTTAGCAGCATGCATGGAGGGAGAAACAGTTAATAATTTTGAGTCTGGTTCGACTCTTCAGAACAGCAGAATGTGTCCTGAAGAAGCCATACTGGACTCTGTTAAATCTGTTTTTCTCTTTCCACAGATGCTACCAGACCTGATGAGCTTCTCCAGCAATTGTCTGTTTATGACAAAGAGCTGATCAATACTATAGTTTGTGACTTCATACGGTGGTACTAAACTCTCTAAATTATTATGTTGCATTCATAATGTCCGAAACAATAGGCTGTAATAATTTCCTTTCTCAATTTTTAAAAAAAAAAAAAAAAATTCCTGGGATTTCTGCTCCTTGATGGCATATGCATGTACCCTCTTCAAAATTTATATTGAATGTGCTGACTGGATTAAATTTTCCATCAATGATTATTTTGATTAATGAATCTTTACATTTTAAAGTACTGCGACAACTTTTTAAATGTCAAATGGAAATTGAAGCCCAATTTCTAAAAGGGAATGGTTATAGTTGGAAAATGTTTCATCTTTCAGGCTCAAGGAAGAATCTATAATAAACTGAAAGAGGAAAACTTCTTTGGACCCAAAGAAGAGGTTAAATTAGAGACCCATATCAAAGTGCCGTCCCATGCTGCTGGTAGAGTAATTGGGAAAGGAGGCAAAACAGTGAGTACCAAATGTAATGGCATCTGTAATTTGGCTTGTGGAGTAAATCTACTTTTTCACTTGCTGCAGTCCGAGATATAAATAAGGACATGTCAGTTATCTGCCCCGTGTGCAAACTTAATATGTTGTTTTGTAATTTAGTGAAGTCTTGCATGCTTTATCTGCAGATTTCGACATCATACCTTCCAAACTCCAATGCTTTACTCCAATGCTTTTCTCCAATGCTGACTAATTTTTGAATATGTTCTCTGTCTCTAATGTTTTACCTTTTTTTTTAGCAAAGCCTCTGCAGTTTTTTTTTTTCCTCATTGTAGTGTTGGAATAATTGTTCTATAGGTATTTGGTCAGTTTAATCTCTGAAGATGGAAATTGCATTGTTCTCCATTCCCCTGGAAATTGTTCAGCTGAATTTTATAAATGTGCAATTGTTTTTGTTAGTATCACTTTTGGGCTTCTTACTGTTGGACCTTTTATTTAAAATGTTTCAAAACGTGTGTTTTTTTTTAAAAGGTAAATGAACTACAGAACCTGACAAGTGCAGAGGTGGTAGTACCTCGTGATCAAACGCCAGATGAAAATGATCAGGTTATTGTGAAAATAACTGGTCACTTCTTTGCAAGTCAGGTAATGCCTTTACTAGCCTCAACTTGCACCTTGTTATAGATTAATGACTTGCATGTTTCTGATAATGGTTATCTTTTGAGAAGAAATCTTTCAGTTTCCTGTGTACAGAGAAAGTGGTGTCTGTGTGTCTCACTTCCTATATTTTATGGTGGATGTCTCTACAGGAAAAGTTGAAATATGTTGTGACATGATATTTTTACCAGTTTATTTCTAATGCCACCTGGAGAAGTTTGGTCCAGTCTGACACTCATACTCAAGTATTTAAGCTGCTCTGTTGGTGGCAGGGGGATTATTCTGAAGTGTGGATGGAGCTGAATGGGGGAAAGAGATCAATCACAAGCAGTTTTATATTGTTGAGAAATTACTGATAATTTGGTGATTATTGCTTGAATTTGTACTGAAGGTCAGGCAAAGAGGATAAAATTGCAAAATTTGCTGTTTGAAAAAATCTTGAATAAAAGTTTTTAAATGCCATCCTTACTTCTGATTTTGATCTTGTAGGTATTTCACAGATTACTTTTGTGTTCATTGACTGTCCAGCGTCAGCATGCTCGATGGGTAGCATTCTTACCTCTGAGTTAGATGTGGGAAGTTGCACCAATCTGTCCTGTCAGTGGGAAATTATGAATTATTTTACTGTACTGTCGGAGGTTTAGATTTAAAAAGAGGTGGTGAGTTAGAAACAGGAGTAGGCCATTTGGCCTGATGAACCTGTTCAAACAGATCATAGATGATCATCGTCTGTTTATATTCCAACCGCAAGCACGCACATCAAAACTTAGGTGTTACATAATGGGGGGTTTAACGTTGTCATTAATGCCACTGCAGAAATTTTTTTTAAAAGTACTTTCCCTTGTTCTCTGGGGTATGGAATTTCAAGGATGGATCATCTACTGAGTGAAGATATTCCTTGGTCTTTGTCTTAAATCACAGGTCCTATATTCTGGAACCAGATCTCCTAGTTCTAGACTTAGCAGTCAGGGGAAATATCCATATCTATCCTGTCATACCCTGTATCAACTTTTTAAATGTTTTAAATGGATCATCTCTCATTCTTAACGTCTAGAAAAGATCAGCCCCTATGCTCTAATCCCTTTGCCATGAAGGCCAACATACCTTTGTCTTCCTAATTGCCTGTTGGACTTGTTTGCAAGTTTCTAGTGTCTTATGGAGAAGGATGCCCAGGTAAATTTAAACAGCAACATTTCCCAATGTCTCTCCATTTAGTAAGTACTGCACCTTTTGTTTATTTTTTCTACCAAATGGATAACGACCCAATTTTTTCATATTAATTTCTATCTGCCACTTTCTACCCCATTCAATTCACTTAACTTGTCCAAGCACCCCAGAAACCACCTTGCATCATCCTTACCAATGTACATTTACCTCTCTCTCGCTCTTGTAGCCAGTTCTTAAGGGGTTATAATTTGACCAGAGTTGAATTTGATTAAATATATTAAGTTGAGGAAATTGTGTGTCAGTGGAGGATGTCACTAACTGGACATTCTGTCAGATTCAGTACAGATAGGATTGGCTAACTTACCCTATTTTGCAGTAAATTTGCAACCTTTGTTTTAATATGACTTGAGGATTAATCACTTGTTTATGCTCCAAAATGTGAATTTATTGGTTATGTAGAGAAGGTGCTGGAGACTTTGTTGTTACAATATTTATATATTTTTACACATCAGTTTACAGATTTTTAGCTGTTTCTCTTTCATTTTCACTAATTCCTTGTGAGCTGGGAGATTACAAGGCTTGCATGTTCCATTTTGATTAAATGAGGCTTGAATGCAATGTAAACTAATTTTTGTAAGAATATTTAAAAATCTAACTGACATCTCTTTGAAATGTAGCTTGCTCAGCGAAAAATTCAAGAAATTTTGTCCCAAGTAAGAAGACAACAACAGAAAACAGCGCAGAGTGGACAGCCCCAACCACGAAGAAAGTAAAAGGTTCAGGATCTGCAATCTACCACAGAGACAGATGCCAGACCAAAGAGAGAGAGAGACTGTGTAATCAGGGCAGTTAAACCTGTCACTGATAAAGAAGCAAATGTTCCATCTTCCCAGTCACCTTTTATTGAGGACTAGGCAACCTATGAACTCTGTCTTTTGTGCGAATGTATTCTTTACGCGTTCAAAAAACCTTGTGAAACCCAGCTTTAAATAAGGCCCTTTCACTTCCCTTCTTTTGTTCGAATTCAAAACTTTACATTGCCTTGTTAGCTTTCCCAAAATTCTTAGACCTGTTGGGTTTAATGAAGCTTTCTCTTCTGATTTTTCACTGGTTACAAAAAGGCATTGCTCTTATAGTTCAAATCATTATAAAACCCTTGAGATTTTTTTTTTGGGGGAGGGACTAGGGGAGTTGGCAAGATTGAGGCATCTGTCCCAACATGCAAAATGGCTTTTTTAAATTGGGTTGTTTTACAAAGATTACTAGAACACTGCCATTAGAACCTAAGGGAAGTGTTGAATGGTGTTGGCCAAGGCATGAATTGATTATGCATTTTACTAAACTACCTCAGGCATTTAGTACCTCAATTGTTCCTTTTTTCTGCTTATTTTGTATACTTTATAAAAGTAATAGTCAAGCATTTTATTTTTTTAAAAAAAAAGTAAAATTTGATCAGCTAAAAGCCAGGAGCACTACAGACAAAAGTATCAATGTAAATGTGTTGCTTCTAGCTGCTGGCTGATGGGAGTATTCAATAAATGATACTTACCTCAGTTTTCCTGAGGTCCACAACACCATCATTTGATCAAAATTCTGTGAATGTTTGAGACGCCGAATGATGCCAATATATACTAATAGCAGCAATGCCATTTTTTCTTTTTAAGATATGATGAAAATGTTTATTTCCTATTTTTGATTGATGGTACTTTTGGGAACAAAACAAGGAAGTGATGGCAAGAGGCTGGGGTAGGGGAAAGAGACTGCAAAATGGAGTAGCTTTTAGTATAACTGGGTATTTTAAATGCATGGACCCTTGGTGCCTTTGACCATCACTGCATCTTGATGCATAATAACACAGTCTATTTGGACTTGGCCATTTTGTTCAGAGCAAGCTTCATCTGCAGTTACTGGTAGAGTTATTAGATCTGTCTGGGTACACTGGCAGTCTTTGCTAGAGTGGACTCTGAATTTATTGAACCGCACGTGATCATACTTGTGAGAGAAAAGTCAATGCTGCTTGCTCATTCTAAAGTTGTTGAAAATAAGAGAGTTTACATATGCAGCTACTGTAGTGGGCTACACTAAGCCATGGGGGGAGGCTGTTAGTTTCAACCCTTTCTTTCCTCTGAGCTTAAATCGAAATGCAGCAGGGTTTATGCACATCTACAGATAACCGGTACAGCAATAAATGCATAAATGGCCAAATTGACAGCCACAAAATAGTTTTGATCCCCCTCCCTCTCCCACCAAATGTAGTCTGACTAGAATAAGCTAAAGCAACTAATTTGTGGTAAAGTTGAAATGCTCCAGTCAACTTCCTGAGTGCACCCAATTTCCAGCTACCTCAGTGCTTTAAATGAAGGCAGTGCACGTTTAGTGCATAAACACTGCTGTGTGTGGTCTGAGCAGAGCCATGCTATTACCTCTGAACCTTTTGTGATTTTTCTTGTGCATGAGATGATCATTATCATCATGCTGCACTGAAATAGAGGGGCACAACTTGGCAAAACCATTTACTTCATCAATTTTTGATCTACCTCTTAGATACATTTGAATTAGAGGCATTTCTGCATAGGATAGGTTGATATTTTCCCAAAGATCATTTTTTGTACAGATTAGACAATTAAAAATGGTCTGGTGTGTTTTTGCCTACATATATTCATTACTAATCAAACTCTCAAAGCTTATGTTGTAGCTTTAGCAAAATGGATTAATTCTCATTCTTTTGGCAGAGTGACTTCTCCATGTAGTGTTAGAAATGTTTTCTTACATTGATAAAATAACTGAATTACAGAAGGTCATTTAATAACTTAAATAAATTGATGTGAGGCTGAAAGGTCAGAGCCCACTTTTTGTTGCAAGTAACATTGATAGATTGATTTACCTTGGTTTTTGGTTTAATTGCTGCATTTACACTTCCTGATCTGCTGCTGTATCATTTAATTTTCTGGACTATATAACAAGATTGGTAATTTGGAAATATTGGCATTTAGTTGAAGGTAGTTCTGTAAAAGAAGTGAAACCAGCAAAAAAAACTTTGCTCACTTCTCTTTCTTTCATCTAAATACTGTGCCCCTAATGCAGCCCCATTTGTCAAATGCCTCTGTTTGAAATAAAATAATTTAGCTCCTATGTGATTATGTATGTTTTCAAGGTATTAAGCAGACTTGTATTTTGTTACAAGTTGAAGTATAATGGATGATTCCACTCTTGTGGCTTGCAATTGTGTATACAACACATGGAAACATTTCACAAAATTCCTTGTATAAGGCTTTGATAATGAACATACATACACGAGGCACACATTTAGTTGTCACTTCATTCCAGCTCACTGTGAAAGATCAAATTTCAAAACTCTGAAAATCTTGTTTCCAAGACAAATCAGTTTTAAACAAACTTCCCTATACTTCCTTTTGAAGTGTCACTTTCAAGACCATGTTTAGTCCTGGAAAAAAAAAAATCAGCTTTTCTGTTTTTGTACAATGTAAAATCTTAACTCCATTCCATTTAAAGAAGAACTGGCTGAAGCATGCTTTTAATTTTAAGCGGCAACATCGACTAATATTTCAATGGTTCAATAAATTTTTTTCCCCTCACAGGATGGAGGGTCCTCCAATATGTTCCCTCTAGTTAATCAGAGCAGGTCTACAGCATGTCATCCAGCACTAACTTTCAGTATCCTACAGCTGCTATTCAGATGGTACCCAGTAACTTTTAGACCACTGTGAATTCCTATTCACAATTTATCTGTAGGACCCAAAACCTTATTGTATTATAGGTGTGGCAATACATGTCTTTTAATCTGCCTCTGTGTTTCTTTTCCAATACAATCACTGCCTGTGTCAAATCCATTTTTTTTTTTGCAACGTTAGATAAGTGTCTGACATGCTGTCCCACTGCCTAACTATTGTACATGTCAAAGTTCATGTTAAAAGGACAAACATTTTAGCCTTTTTATTTGTAACAGAAGCTTCAGCTCATTTTCGTATAATTCAGTGTTATATACATTACTGTCTAACTTCAAAGGCTCAAATGTGGCATATGCATTTCAGTTTCTGGTGTACAATAAACCTTCTGACCCTGAGCCTGCCAAGCATTGGCTCTTTCGTAAATACATTCAACACTGGGTAATTTTGTAAAGCAAATCTAACTAAAATGCTGCTGCATTGATTTAGTTTATAAAATTTTGCATACTATCGACTTCTATAAACAAATGCATGATCCAAATGTGAAGTGGTACAACTGTACAGCTTGTGTAGTTTCTACAAGCTGGACTTCATTTCTGCACCTTACACCAGTTTGTCCAATCCTGTTGCCTCAAACTCACTTCCACTGCTCATTACTGTAGAGGAGTTCGAATGAATTCACACAAACACTGGTTCGATGCTGTGAATCCCTTCAAGACAATCTTCTGAAATCACTGTTTTTGTCTGTGTCTGTTGGTCCATATATAAAATCTCTGGGTAGTATTTCTGGAGGTATCATATTAAATTGATCGTCATAGGAATGCAAAGTCCAAAGCTTCTCCAGTTCATAGACTTCCCTGGTTTCAGATAGCATGAAATGTACTACTATGTTACCTTGGGAGGGACGAAACAAAATCATTTTAGTTACATCAAAAACATGCCTACTTAAAATCCAGTTTATATTTTCTCAATGGTTTTCTCCTAGCCAAAATGGTTAAAAACAGTTTTGATCCAATCATGTTTCCCAGAATTTATAAATATTGTTCTCTGTTGAAATTCAAGTCTAAAACTGAAGTTGGTATCGTTAGAGTATTTTATATGTATTAAAATGTTGTCCAAAGTTGGACAGTCCCATTGGACTACCTGGGAAGAACAAATAGATATGAGGGATTAACTTTGGGGGACTCCCTGGTCTAAGTATCACATGGTGTTGACAACATTTTATGCACACAATTTGGAATGAAACAAACAGGTAATTCATTTGTTTTATAAATTGCAACTGACCATACTGAATCCCTTGGCACATAATTGTTGCAGTTACTGCCAGGTACTAACTATGCTTCGAGCCTTTAGCAGTCATGGATCACTTTTCATTCCTTACAGGAAGATAAAAGTACTGCTTCTTGTCTAGACAAAAGCACTATTCTACAAATTCTGCCCTATCAGCATCCAAATTAAGTACATTGAATACTTGCAGCATTTATTTTTAATCGATACAGATCATGCAGTGTCTGTGGAAAGAAAAATGAAAAAGTGTCTCTGACCAAACTAACATTGTAGTTTTGCTTGCTGCTGCATGAACCATGAGGGCAACAGTGGCTTCCAGAAACTATACCGCCACATATTCCTAGTCACCCCCCAGCTAACAGAATGTTGGATCAACCTTTCGCTAGAACTAAAGAGCTGAAACATTACAGGTCACACCCGTGGAGAGAATTATTGATTTTTTTTTTTTTTAAAAATCAGACTTCCAACATCTGCAGTATTTATGCCCACCGAGTTAAAATGTTTACAGATTTTATGGAACTCACCAAAATCTATGCACTTCCAATCGTCTGTATCTTTCCCTTCAATGTGGATGTGAGTGTTCTGCTGTCTCTTTAAGTGTTTATACTGCAGGATAAAACATTATTGAACTTTAACCAGTACTGTAAATTTCACAGGCTTTAGCATAGCCAAGGTGATTAGATTTTAAAAAAAATTTTTTGCTAAATTACATCTTAAGCAGTTTGGGCAAACTCATACATGTGAGAAAAAAATGCTTACCTGAACTGACCACTTCAAAACGATCAGGGTATCTGAATGTGTTGGAATATTTCTTGTATTTTTTTTTTTTAATTTGTGCCTTTAGCCTCCCCTCAGAATTAAGGGAATTAATGGCAAAGTGGTATTATTGCTAGAATATTAATCCAAAAAAAAAAAACCCAGGTAATGTTCTGTGGACCAGGTTCAAATCCCTACCAAAGTAGTTGGTAGAATTAAAATTCTAGAATTAGAGTTTGATTGTGAAACCACTGTCAATTGTTTTAAAAAACTCATCCGGTTTCCTGATAGTCTTTCCAGGAAGGAAATCTGCCATCCTTACCTGGCCTAATGTGACTCCAGATCAATAGCCCTGTGGTAGACTCTCAACTGCCCTATGACCTGGCCTAGTAGAGCACTGCAGTAGCAATCTTTCCAAAGAAATGAAACCAGACAGACTGCCTGTCATTGATCTTGAAAATTACAATGGTCAAGTAGCATTGAGCCCTGCAGCAGCAGTAGTCCTCACTAATATGTGGGGACTAGAGCCAAAATTGGGACAGCTGTCTCAGAGGCTGGTCAAGAAACAGCCTTACATGGTAGAGTCACACTCAATCAAATCATACCTTACAGATAAGGTGCCAGACATTGCCATCACCATACCTGGATACATCTTGTCCTGCTGCAAAATGGCCCAGAAGAGGTGGTAGCATAATGGTAGTGATGTGGGAGACAATTGACTGGACCCATGAATCCCCTAGTGCTTATGACTCTATGCTGAACAAACTTGGAGGAAGCACTGAAGGTGGCAAGGGTGTAAAAGATGCTTTTGCAGGGGGATTTCAGTGTCAACTGCCAATGAGTGACTCAGTAGTAGCACCACATTCTCAGTCAGGTCATTAAAAGGACACTTACATTAGATTCTTGTCTGCAGCAGGTGGTGAGGGAAAAACCTACTTGACCTCATCCTCAGTGCTCCGCCTGCTGCGGTTGCAGGTGACCACAACAGTATTGACAGCAGCACAGTTCTTGTGGAGATGAAGTATATCGCCACACCCACATCACATTGTGTCACACAATCACCATGATAAATGGAACAGACTTCGAATAGATCCAACAACTAAAGACTGGGCCATTGGACCATTAGCAGCAGAACTGCACTCGCAAGACAATCTGCAACTTCATTGCCTGGCATATCATCAAGCCAGGCTTACCTAAAAGGTGTACCTTAGTGAAGTTACAAAACACAACTGCTTGCACACTAAACATTGTGTGATGGATCTAAGCAATTCCACAGTCAGATCAAAGCTCTGAAGTCCTACCACGTCAAGTTATGAATAGCAGCGGACAATGAAACAACTCACTGGAGGATGAGGTTCCACAAATATCCATATCTGCAATAACAGGAGAGCCCAGCATTTTTGTGCTAAAGGTAAGGTTGAAGCATTCACAACAATATTCGGCCAGAAGTGTCTAGCAAATGATTCATGTCTGCCTCCTCCAGAGGACCCCATCATTACAGATGCCAGTCTCAAGTCAATTTGAATGATTCCACAAAATAAAAATGGTTGAAGGCATTGGATATTGGAAAGGCTGTGAGACCTGACAACATTCTGGTAATAGTATTGAAGACTTGTGTTCCAGAATTTGCCACAACCTTGGCCGAGCTGTTCCAGTAGAGCTACAACACTAGCATTTATTGGGCATTTACAGAGGGCAACTATTTCCCAACTTTGGGCTCATTTCCCAAGTGCACATAATTTGTTATTCACCAACCTATGTCTCACTTAGGTACAGTCTCCTGACTTTGGCTTCATATTCTAAAGCCTGGAGGTTCTTGTTTCAATGTTTGCATAATACTAGAATATTGATAATATACCCATTTAAAGTTTTATAAATTTAGGTGCAAGTATTTCACAAGTTATTCCTAGAAAATACTAGCTCTTGGAATTTAATAAGAAACCTGTACAAATTTTGTTGAAAGACATTCCTTTGGTGTATTATTCTCTTGTTGCAGTCCAGCTGCAGAAAACTGTTCTTATAATGGGATCTGTTTACAGTTCTTGATTATTTCATTCATTGTTCAATTATTTTGCAATCTGAAGCTACCTATTTCAGTTCCCTGTTACAAACCAGCAATATGGTTGAGGTGAAGAAAGAACATAAAGCTAAAGCCGATCCATAGATATTTCTAAAAAGCTGCTTCAAAAATGACAACTTTGCGAGTTTCCTCAATTCAGCCAAAAATAAACAAGCAATCTTCCTACTCTTTTTTTTGAAATTTGAACATTCAAATTATCCAAAGGTTTGCCAGTGGACTCTTCCTTCAAATGTGCCAGTTCATTAAACCAAGTTGGGGGAAAATGGGATTTAAATCAATACAATCAAGTTTATTCAGAACAATTTTAGTTTTCATTAAGTTCTTTGAAATGAAATATTCCTCAGCATCCAGAACCTAATGTGTCATAATGCATTGGTCCTCCCTTCTGTATTCAACTACTGGGAAGTTCTATAATCTTGCCCCAAGCTGTCATAACAAGTTTGATTATATAGGTTTTTTTCCATTTTTAATATTTTTACAACTTTACTAAACAGTCAACCAACACAGGCTCTTGGAGCTTTGTTTTTCTGATTTCCATAACTTAGTAATATGAGCAAGATAAAACTAAGAACATATACAGCACTGCATCTCCAAAGTACATATTATTTACGATTAAAATCACAATAGTAAATTGATGTTTGAAAGATCAAATGTATATTATTGTTCAGACATACACTTTACAGTCTTGATCATTCATATTTATTCTATACCTGGCATTCCAATGAGAGAACTTGTTATACAACAGTACATTAATGTTTATGATGCATTTTCTGCAAATGAAGTGTTAAGTCCAACATAAAAGCTTTTTAAAAGCTAAATCTAAGTTATTGGCCATGAAGAAATTGGTTATCAGTTTTACTTCTAGGTCCAGTGCAATAAGCTGATTCTTGCAGAAAGTGAGCTTTCATTGATTTATTTTCCAAATCAAAATATAAGTTTATGATGTGGGCATGAGATGTTAGATACTAATAAACCAAATAGCAACAATTCGCACAATATCACTTACCGCTTTAATTGCATACTGTGCCATAGCTTGTAAATGTCTTGTAGAAGTTCCACTCACAATGATAAAATAATCAGTGTACTTCATTTCCTTGGGCAGTTTAATGACACAAAGGTCCTTTGCATTCTCTTGACGTAACAAAGCTACCAAAACATCGATGTTAAAAACTGGCTGATGAATAAAGCCTAATAGAAAGAAAGCAGAGTGTACGAGTTTAGGTTCACTTTCCTGGAAATAGTAATTAGAAACAGCTTGGTTTGCTTTGCTTTCACAACTTCCTTTGTTTTCTAGCAAGTAAACTGATGAACTACAATTGAAAGCTGCATTTAAGGCTCACGCCATCGAACACCGCAGGGCTAGGTCACACTGAAGAATCAGAGTAGCATCTGCCTGACCAGACAAGACCAAAAGGAGGCACAATTCTGTCCTGAAATGGTGATATTCGGTTCAGGTTTCGTCCCTTGCAATGTGTTTCAACTCACTACAGAGCAGCAAGCCAAATGGGGCATTGGTTGGTGCTGTGATACGTCACCGTGTAAGCATCTCTGACAAGGTGGATCCCTCTTGGTACACATCCATGCTGTCAATGCCGCTGTGAGATATTGTATTATGATCCTTTTTACTAGCTCACTCAAGTGCAATATGTTTACTATGCTGCATCTCCATTCACTCATTCACAAAACTCTAGGCCCGAAACGTCAGCTTTCCTGCTCCTCTGATGCTGCTTGGCCTGCTGTGTTCATCCAGCTCTACACCTGGTTATCTCAGATTCTCCAGCATCTGCAGTTCCTACTATTTTTGTAGTACATTTTACTCTTACAAGATAAACTAAACATCCCTTTCAATCCATTACTGTTTCTTTACACCTTTCAATTCTTATCAGCCCCATGCTGCACACAACGTTTAGATCTGTTTCTGTATCAAAGGCTACCCCTGAATAAGTGTTAATACTGTAACCTACACAGAACAATGCCAACTGCTTTCATGTCTCCATAACTCACTCAAAACTATGCAAAGATTATAATATTAATTAGCCCTTAGGAACCATCTCTTGGGACCTGAATAGGTTGCAGGACATCAAACAGTTTCCTCCGCTAGCATGTCCCTATAGTCTGCTGCTGTTTCTCTTTGAAACTTCCTTATACACTACCTATTTCTATAACACTGTACTACCTATTTTTAACTTTTATTTAGGACTACCATCTTGTACTAACATAAGTATTTATACTTTTTAAATACACATTAAAATAGGGCCACGATCCCCTTTTAAGAAACTTACTATCAAAACCACGCTTCCATGAAATTGCATGAACGGATGTGTAAGGACTGTCAAAACTGACAATAGTAAACAAAATCCCACAACCTAGCTGCCGGAGATCAGTTTAATAACCTCTATACTTTTATTTAGTGCACGTATAATTATTTAGTTATATAAGTATTTAATTATTCTCACTTATTTAGATCATATAGGTTTAGTATTTTTACTAACTCTAAAGACAAAAGGGCTACCCACCTCTTAATTATGCAAACTCAGACTGGACAGACATTCTAATCCCATTGGGAGTAACAGCCAGCATTTAGCAAGTGCTTAAACCATTTCCTGCTTCTCCATGACAGATGTCATACCAACTTCTTTACAATAGATACAAATATGTGACACCATAGTGCTAAAATTTTAATGTATGAAAAATCTGTATAAAAAGAGGCTACTGTAAAACTGTACTTTGGATTCCATCGCCACCTTGAACTATGCTACTGCGGATGCTCAATAAAGAGGCTATTTTTGCCATTCACCGATCTCAGTCATTAGTGAACACGATCCCACAGCTGCTGAATCCCTGTGCCATTGAAGTGGCATGAGATACCCAATTTGAGCAAATATTATTCCACAGGAAAAAACTATCAGCTAAAATCAGCAAGGCTGCTGACCATGAAGATGGAGCAAAGGCAAACCATCTCCAATTCCAAGCTCACAATGACAGACTGCTTTCCTCCATATGTAATTCATTGTCCATCTCAGACTTTGTTGCTTAAAATTCTCATATGCTCACCGTTACCAGATGTGATTCATTCAATGTCTCCTGTCTAATGTTCCCTCTCCAGTCTCTGTGAATGTCAACTCATCTAAAATACAAACTACTTTCATTCTAACCTTCATCAAGTCCTGTTCATCCTCATTGTCTCCGAAGCCCACAGCATATTAAAAATTTCTCATCCTTGTGTCCTAATTCCTTCATGCCCTTATTGTCTGTAAATTCCTTGACTTATGATCCTCATAGAACTCAACATAGAAAATAGAAGCATGAGTCAGCCATTAGGCCCTTCAAGCCTGCTCTGTCCACCATTCAACTGACCATGGCTTATCATCCAACTCAGTACCCTTTGATCCCTTTAACTATACAGCTATATGGCATAAAAGCAGACCCTTCAGCTCATCATGTTTATGCTGACCAGTAAACACCAAACTACAATAATCTCACTTACCTGCAATTGGTCCATAGTCCACTATGCTCTGGCATTTTAAATACTCATCCGGATGCTATTTAAATGTTGAGAGAATACCTCCCTCCATCACCCTCTCAGGCAGCGTGTTCCATACTTCTACTACCCTCTGGGTGAAAAAAAATGTTTTCTGATCCCCTCCAAACTACTTACCTCTCATCTTAAGCTTGTGCCCTCTGGTCTTAGACAGGTTTGCCATGAGGAAAAGATTCTCACCACCTACCCTATGCCTCAATCAGATTCCCATCAGTCCCCAACCACCTCTGCTGCTTCTCCTCCTCTCCCAGCCTATCCAACCTAAATCTATATCTAACTCCTTGAAAAACATTCAATATTTTGACCTCAACAGAATCACTCTGTCAGTGAAAAAATTTCTGCTTATCTCAGTCCTAAATGGCCTACAGTATCTTTACAGACTGTGAGCCCTGGTTCTGGACTCCCCTCTTCCCCGTTTACTCTGTCTAGTCCTGTCAGAAGTTCTTTCATCTATAGGCACTTGCCCATTCCACTCCCTTTGCCCTATCACTTAGAGTTGCAGCCACTAGGATCTTGAACTCTGGAATTCACACTCTAAGCCTCTCCATCTTTATGATGCTTCTTAAATTATACCCTTTTGACCCAACTTTTCAATCACCTTTTCTAATGTGTCCTTTGACGACACCGAATCAATTTTTGGCTAATTAAGCTTGTACGATGCTTTACTGAATTGAAGATATATATGCAAGCTGTTACTGTTGCTATCCTCTTGTCAATTTTCTCATTGTGCTTCCCTTTTTGTCTCACGCTTATATCCCTCATTCCCTTTAACCAACTGTTTTATGCTTGAGCATTTTCATAGTCAAAACCATGGCCAATTGTTTCCATTTTCTTCATTTCCCTCTTCCGGTTTCTTTATAAACTATCCTTTTGTAAACAAACATTTTAGTTTACACATAAAACTGCTCATATTAACTCCATAAAACTGTACATGTTGCAATATACCAAAAAGGACAAAACAATTTCAATGATAATTCAAATTTAAGTTGTACAAGAAGCTCTGCGGTATAACATGTGCTACAGCAGTATCAAACTGTTTTGAACCTAAAAGATTTATTTCGTATTTTCCAATTAGCTGGTTCTATCACAGGCAACTAATGAGCTTACCTTTTAGATTTTTTTTTACAAGGAGCTCGGATACATTGAACACTCGCAATTTAACAGCAACTATTAAAACAAACACTATGGCAACCTTTCACATCTGACTCCCAAATCTGAATTTAAACAGTTTCTTTGATCGAAAGGAAAGATTTAAAAAGGAACCTAAGAAGCAACTTTTTCGTACAGAGGATGGGCGTGTATAACCTCGATGCCGATGGAAATAAGAGCAAATTACTGTCGATGCTGTAATCTGTACTGAAAGCAAAAAATTGGGAGCTCACCCATATAGACTCAAAACGTTAGCTTGCTGTCTGGCTGTGATTTCTAGCATTTTTTGTTTCCTACCAGAGGAAATGGTAGAGGCAGGTACAATTACAACATTTAAGAGGCATCTGGATGGGTATATGAATAGGAAGGGTTCGGAGGGATACGGGCCAAATGCTGGCAAATGGGACTGGCTCGACTTAGGAAATCTGGTCAGCACGGACGAGTTGGACCGAAGCGTCTGTCTGTTTCCGCGCTGTGCACCTCTATGACAGTTTGAGTTTAGCGTGCGCAGCCGCCTAAGAACGATCTAGTAAATGATCGAACAGCTAGCAGCCGTCCGTGTGCTCGCCCGCACTCTCTTTACAAGCTCCTGTAATCGTGTTATAATACTCGTTAATAACGACGACATGCTTGATAACTTGTGCAGTCGTTTTTTTTACCGGGCTCCACAGTCGCGCCGCTCTGCCAGAGCCGGCTCGTGCTGCAGCTTCTTCGAGCGTCTCGCGCCAACTGAGCCCGGGCATCTGGGTGAAGCAGCGCGCGCTGTCCCAGCTCTCGAGCTGCCTGCAGCCCACTCCGTGCAACACAACGACCATATGCAGCCAGAGTCAGGATCATCATCATCAGCACCACCCAGCAACCTCTCAGATATTCTTTAACCCTGAAATTAGACCCTCCGCTACAGCGCCGCAGGAAATATATCGCAGCTGACAGGAAACACCCGAACGTGTTTGCCGGAAATTCAATCCGACTGGCAAACATCGGGAGCAACGATGGTTCCGACGCGAATTGTTAACGGTTAAAATGACTGCCACCATTGCCATAAGAGATTTGCAAGTGCAAAAGTGTGGAGCAAGTTATAAACCCAAATAACGGGAGTTTATTTAAGAACGACGTACATAAAGCACGCATTTTCAAGAAAATTTACGGAAATTAGGTACCATTAGCGGGTTTCGTATTGTATTAACCCATTCCGAAACAGAAACTTATGTTGGCAGTGGTGAGCCAGAATCTTCTGGAACACAACTGTGCGTTACGAAAGCAATTGAAAGTTAACCACATTGTTATTAATCTGGAATCATCCATGCCAGGCTGGTGATTATGGCAAAAAGTTCTATTAACATATGTGAAAATCAGATCACACCCTTTTGATTTTAATTATTTTGTCAATGTCAAATTTGTTCCTTTGGTTATACATACTAACCACGTGGATTGATCCGTGGGAGCTTTCCTATTTGGGAATGTAATGTGCCTCAATACAAGGAGTGCCTGTTTGGATAATTACATTTGTAGGGACAGCGTGCAAGTGTAATTTGCTGTGATCCTGCACATTGATAGCTATTGTAAATAGCTTTTCAATTTAGAATGTGTCACCGTTGTGGTGTCAGAAGTGTGCATCTGAATTTGTGTGGATTTTCAAATCCACTGTAGGAAACAGCAAAGAGGATTTAAAACTGTAGTCTGCCGCTTTGCAATACTGGGTGAATCAGAAAGGCTATGTAATTTCCAGTCCCTGGTGCTGTAAATGAAAGGCAATATGAGGAAGAATTGGAATTTCTTTTAGTCTCAATGGCAAAATTACGAACTAACTATAGAATTAGACAAGAAATCCAAATAAGTAAGCATAGTAAATCTGTTATCAATGCTGCCATAAGAATGCTACAAAATGTATTGTACACTAGAGCTATCTGAGGACCAGAAAAGTCAGACTGGAAAATTTTCAAAGGTTTTGAACCCTCTGCTCATGTAAATTATGAACTGTACATGTTTAATATCAAAACTCAGGGAGACAGGGAGCATTAGCATGTGATAGAACTGATACATCTAGCTGGTATCTATAAATTTGGACATCTGAAAGATGATTGCGATTCACACCAGGTTTAATCAGTTACAGAAAAATAACTGTATATTGTAACATAGTTAGCTTTAACAAGAACAGAAAAAGGAAAGGCTTTCTAATCTACAACAATGAACTTAAACTATGCCCCTTCAAATCCCCAAATGCGCATACACTGAATCATAAACCAAGACAAATGGTTTAGCACATATACTGTGGATAGAGAAACAATATATCAAGGTTAAATAAAATTCCAAAGATCAAAAGTCCAGACCACGAGGTGGAAAATTATTTTAGAGTCATAGAGATATACAGCACAGAAACAGACCCTTCAGTCCAACTCGTCTGTGCCGACCAGATATCCTAAATAAATTCAGTCCCATTTTCCAGCATTTGGCCCATATCCCTCTAAATCCTGCCTATTCATATACCCATACAGATGCCTTTTAAACATTGTAATTGCACCAGCCTCCACCACTTCTTCTGGCAGCTCATTCCATACATGCAACACCCTCTGTGTGGAAGAAGTTGCCCCTTAAGTCCCTTTTAAATCTTTCCCCTCTCACCTTAAACTTGCACCCTTCTGAACTCCCCCACCTTGGAGAAAAGACCTTGTCTGTTTACCCTATCCATGCCCCTCATGATTTTATAATCTCTATAATGTCACCCCTCAGCCTCTGACACTCCAGGGAAAATAGCCCAGTCTATTCAGCCTCTCCCTGTAGCTCAAACCCTCTAACCCTTGTAAATCTTTTCTGAACCCTTTCAAGTTTCACAACATCCTTCCTATAGCAGGGAGACCACAATTGCATGCAGGTTCCAATAGTGGCCTGACCAAAGTCCTATACAGCTGCAATATGACCTCCCAACTCTTATACTCAATGCATTGACCAAAAAAGGCAAACGTACCAAACGCTTTCTTCACTATCCTATCTACCTGCGGTTCCACTTTCAAGGAACTATGAACCTGCGCTCCAAGGTCTCATTGTTTAATAACGCTCCTCAGGACCTTACTGTTAAGCGTATAAGTTCTCCCCTGATATGTCTTTCCAAAATGCAGCACCTCATATTTATCCAAATTAAACTCCATCTGCCACTCCTCAGCCCATCGGCCCATCTGATCAAGATCCCATTGTACTCTGAGGTAACCTTCTTCCCTGTCCACTACATCTCCAATTTTGGTGTCATCTGCAAAATTACTAACCATACCTCCTATGTTCACATCCAAATCATTTATATAAATGACAAAAAGCAGTGGGTCCAGCACCAATCCTTGTGGCACACTACTGGTCACAGGCCTCTAGTCTGAAAAGCAACCCTCCACCACCACCACCCTCTGTCTCCTACCTTCAGGCCAGTTCTGTATCCAGATAGCTAGTTCTCCCTCTGTTCCATGTGATTTAGCAATTCCAACTTGCTGGTGTCTGTGGGATGGTGACCATTCTTCAATTCAGTGGTTGATCTAGGCCTTGCCTTGTTTTAGAATTTTTTCTTTTAAATTTACTTGATATTTTTCCCACATTAGAGAGGGAGACAAATGGATGCTTTCTAGATATTTGTTTGTCTGTCCTGGCACTTGTAGCTTTTAACACTGCAGCTCAACTAATAAGAGATCTGTTGTCAGGCAGAATCTCTTTAACTGATAAGATTCTCAGGGCTGCTCAATCTCAAATTCTTCTTACTGCTTCAAAAATCAACACTGTATGACACAACTTAAAATTGTGTAACGCTTGATTTTTAACAGTCAAAGAACAAAGAACAACACAGGAGTTGCAAAACTTTCCTGGTATTTCAATTGGAGCAGTCCAAATTCTATTCCAGTTTATAGTTCCAGATAAGAAAATAATATGGTCTCTTACAAGCTTTCACCCTTAAAAAAACACTTTTTAAAAGCATATAATTACCAGGTGAACACAACAAATATACAATACAACGCAAAAAGATATATTCATTTGCCGTCTTTCATTCCTTATACAGGAATTATTGTCATGTACCTCACAAATACTTAAACTATTTCAGTACAATCAGTTTCTAGATGGTGTGTCGGCTTTTTTTCTCATTCTTAAAACGTAGGCATGACTGGCTGGGCCAGCATTTATTGTCCATCTCTAGTTGCTGTTGAGAAGTGCTGTTGGTGAGCTATTTTCTTGAACAGCTGCAGAACAAAGAACAAAGAAGAATGCAGCGCAGCAGCAGGCCATTCAGTCCTCCAAGTCTGTGCTAGCACATTTTGCCCTTCCATACTAAAACGGTCTTCATGTACAGGATCCGTACCCCGCTATTACCTTCCTATTCATCAATTCATCCAGGTGTTTCTTGAATGCTGCTAATTCTGTCTGCTTCCACCACCTTTTCTAGCAACTCACCACCCTTTGTGTGAAAATCTTGCCTCACACATCTCTTTTAAACTTGCCCCCTTGCACCTTGAACCTGTGGCCCCTAGTAATCAACCCGTCCACCCTGGGGAAAAGCCTCATACTTTCCACTCTATCCATGCCATTTACAATCTTATAAACTTCTATTAGGTTGCACCTCAGCCTCCTGCATTCCAGTGAAAATAAACCCAGTCTAGCCAACCTTTCTTCATATCTAAAATCCCCCATACCAGGCAACATCCTGGTAAACCTTTTCTGTAACCTCTCCAAAGCATCCATATCCTTCTGGTGGGGTGGTGACCAGAACTGTACACAATATTCCAAGTGTGGCCTAACTAAAGTTCTATAAAGCTGCAGCATAACTTGTCTATCCTTATACTCAGTGCCCCTTCCAATGAAGGCAAGCATGCCATAAGCCTTTTATACTACCTTATCTACCTGTGCTGCCACCTTCAGTGTTCTGTGGACCTGCACATCCAGATCTCTCTGCATATCAATACTCCGAAGGGTTCTGCCATTCACTGTATAACTTCCACCTGTACTTGACCTTCCAAAATGCATCACCTCACATTTGTCCAGATTAACCTCCATCTGCCATTTTTCTGCCCATGCCTCCAACTGACCTACATCCTGTTGTATCCTCTGACAATCCTTCTCACTATCCGCAACTCCCCCAGTGTTTGTATTGTTCACAAATTTACTAATTAGACCAGCTACATTTTTGCTCCAAATCATTTATGTAGATCACAAACCGCAGAGAACCCAGCACTGGTCCCTGTGGAATACCACTAGTCACAACCCTCCTTTCTGAAAGGCATCCTTCCACTGCTACCCTCTGTCTTCTATGACTAACCCAGTTTGTATTTGTCTTGCAAGCTTACTCCCAGTACCATGTGACTTCACCTTTTGTACTGGTCTGCCATAAAGGGACATTGTCAAAAGCTTTACTAAAGTTCTTGTAGACAACATCAACTGCTTTTCTCTCATCAATCATCTTCGACACCTCCTCAAAAACTTGATAAAGTTAGAGAGGCATGGCCTCTCCCACACAAAACCATGCTGTTTATTGCTCATAAGTCCATTTGCTTCTAAATGCGTGTAGATCTTGTCCCCGAGAATCTTTTCCAATAATCAACCTACTATCAACGTGAGACTCACAGGTCTGTAATTTCCAGGATTATCCCTGCTACCCTTCTTAAACAATGGGACAACATTGGCTATTCTCCAGTCCTCAGGGACCTCACCTGTGGCCAAAAAGGATACAAAGATGTCTGTCAATGTCTTTCCGTAATCTATGCTGAATCTAGTTGTCCCATCTGGCTTACTTACTAATACTACCAGTGAATTCCAACTGCTTTGGCTAGGTTCAATCAGGTGATTCCAGCATATATTGAATCTCAATTTCCACCTGAGCTTGTTTTTCTGGGTTTAACTGAAAAGGATGTTATATAATTGGTACTGATTCCTCTATGCCTACATCATGTGTGACTAACATAAGATAACCTGGTGTGTTATCGAATTCTTTAAGTTACTAGATTTTCCCATTGACCTACCTCTAAGTATAAAAATAGGTTGTCTAATTTATCCCAGTATATCAGAATTAGCTG